GTGTGGGTAAGTGTTCTAAAAAAAAACTGAATAATATGCCTCCTATTCTTATCTGTATTTGCATCAGTTTAGAACACATAATATACAATAAAGTATTCATATCTGGTTACATTCTATGAGCACTGTCTTCTCTGGACAACAAAGCATTTTTGTCAGTTGCTCAGCGTAGCAGCGTGTGTACAATACTGTAAATCTGGGCTTTCTATATATGTAGTGTCTTCTCGTGAAAGGTTTTGTGTGTGTGTTTGCGTGCCTACAAAAAAAACTCTAATCTGAATTCTACGAGAATCCCTCAAGCACATGTCAGAGTAACAATAAAGAAAAAGTCGTGTGAGATGATGATGATGATGACAGGGAGGAAGAAGAGGAGGAGGAAGAGGACAGGAACACCCTCCTCAAGGGAGCACGCCTTGCTTCCCATTCTGAGTCTCCACATCTTGCCAGGAATTCCCCCCGTATGGAACACGGTGTCCTCCACATGGAGCGAATTCTCAGAGGCATTAAAATGAAAGTAAAAAGAACAAATCTAATAAACCAGACATACTCATAATGCATCGTTTGATATTGTTAGTATAGCTTAGGCTCATATTCTACCATAGGTTCTTATAAGCGCAAGAATCAGCACTGGTTTTTAGTGTAAACCTTTTAGTGTTTTTTCTTCCTCTGCCGCATCTTACGTAATGTTATGCTTGTATAAGGTGAGGTTCTCAGATTGAAAGTTTCAGACATTAGAAATAAATCTAACTGGACAAACACTCTGAACAGAGCTGAGACAGCCACTCCCTCCTGAGCAAGAGAGAGAGAATACACTCCAAGAGTGAGCTCATGCCTAGTGCAACTCAAAACACACACTGAGCCACACTTACAGTCAAAGGTTTGCGCACCCCTGCTCATAGAAGGTCTTCATTTATTACTATAATTATAATGAAGACATATTCAATTATACTGTGATCAAGAAAAGTTAAATAAACCAAAATTAGTGTATATATTTAATTCTTAACTGTATCCCATGAAGCTTTGCACACTCTCAACACGTGGTTCCTTCGGGACGTGTAAAGCCAGCCAACTGCATCTTTTCAAACTGCTGCTCATGCTGAAGAAGAAAGTGCTTTTGGCTCTCTTCCGCATACACAAGCGCACATATGACCACGATTGGCTAGTGTCATTGTGATTGACTGGGGAGAGAGTGTGCCCCTCCCACCCACCCACATAGCACAGTCATTTTTGCTCTCTTAACTCCTGGCCACAGATTTCTGTGGCATCATTGGCCCGATTAATCATCTTTTTGATCAAAGATGGCTCACAAATTTTTTGCCCCACATGTTCACACCTAGCATAGGCAATCCACCTACTAGAATGTTTTGGGAAGTCCGAGGAAGCCAGAGGAAACCCAGGAGGAGAGGAGAAAATGTGAAACTTGGCACAGACAGTAATTAGAGCTCAGGATCGAACGTGAAACTGTGAGGCGGTAACGCTACCTACTGCACCTCTGTGCTGGGCTCTCTTATTTCGACTTCATCTAATGTAATGTGGGCTGTAAATCTAAATAACAATAGTACAACAACAAACAATTTCTCACCTGTGATTACTAAACATCTTGAAGAGACATTCACAAAGTAAAAGTGGCACTATATAACTTTTAAATGTAGGAATTGTTTATGAAAAAATCTGTATTAATGAGTGATAAAGTAGCAAGCAGTTGAGGGTGTGAGGTTACAATGTGTCATTACAGTGTTACAACTTTTCACACACATATACACACGCATACACAGAGAGATGGAAATAAGTTCTCCTCCCTAAAAACACACAGAAGCCATACTGTTGTTTCACCTAATCCTCCTTAAACACTTCTCAATTCATTTCATACTCCACAAAAGGTTAAAAAATATCCTGTATTTCTGCAATCTATCCTACAGACCCTCTTCTCCAAGAATTAACTAATTATTCAGAAATAAAGGCATTTCTATCTGAGAAATCACAAAAAAATAGCTTGAAAAAAAAATTATTATATAAAGAAACTGTTTATAATAAAGCTGTATTATTAGTAAAAACAAATCTCAGCGTTACTCACAGGTCCTGCGCCCTTAGGCTGTGTGAAGTTTCTCCACTTTGGCATGACACTGTCAGTGTCTCTCATCCAAATAACCAGCCTAAAACCAAAAACCTGCAAAAATATCCCTGACTCTGATTGGCTGTCTGTCTAGACTAAAAAGTGTAGCCACGTCCCCTTACCCAAACTTCTCTGTGTATGGTAATGAGCTGCTGATGTGCTGGTTTAACTTTGCACAACTAAGACTGAGGTCTAAAGATGAGTGTAGTCCTGCCTGAGCAAGAGAGAGAGAGGGAAAGAGAGAGGGAGAAAGAGAGAGAGAGAGAAAGAGAGAGAGTGAGAGAGAGAGAGATGTTGCTTGATTACATGCAAAGAGCCTGAGGTCAAACAGCATATGTGGGTGTGTATGGTCTGATTGGGTAATAACAGCATGTGGATTCAGCCACACACTCTTTCCTTCTCTCTCTCTCTCACACACACACACAAAAGTTTTAATACTGTTCATATGACCATAACAGTTACACTGACTAAGACAACTATACTTCCAAAAAACCTTGAGGAGAGTGTCATTTGGTGGTACTCATGGGCGGGGCTAAGAATAGTGTGCACAACCCTGATTGGTTTTGCACCCCATGTCTCACAACATACATACAAATTCATTAAAATATTCAGGTATTTTAATTCTTCAATGATCACCTTACTACTTCTTTTTTTGTATTTTTTTTGTTTTGTTTTGTTATGATGATGTTTTTTTTTGTCATTAAATTCTCAGGTTTTGATGGCGTGTCCAAACTTTTTTTCAACGAACTATTTCTGCTTAATTTTATAGGAATTATGAAATAATTCAAAGTATTCAATCATAGTAGGTACTGAAAATATGCTTTAGGATGAAGCTGGCAGTTTAAGAAATCAATTGGCTAATGATCCCAATGATAACAGTGTTAATTCATTTATTACAGGCGCATCAATGCGCATTGAATCGATGATGTGGTTGCTCTTCCTGTCGTCATAGATGTTCCAGCGTCTCGAGTTGGTATAAAATAAACTCGGCCTACAAACCTGAAATTATGTTACTTCCTGTTTGGGCTGGTTCTTGTTTTTCATTGTGCAAACTGTGCTGCAAAGAAACTCACAGTGACACCACTGTCCAACATAATGGCCAAATGTCTGGAAAAATATGTCAGTGGTTTTTTTTTTTTATTCCTAGCGCTGCAGTGTGGTGTCCAATGCAGCCGCCCACACATGCAGCAAAAACCCAAAGCCAATGTCATCTGTGCTCTGGATACTTAGTGTTACTGTAAGGTGGTTGAAAAACAGGACAGACAGAAAGGACAAAAGACCGAAACAGACCCACAGGACTAGCGGGAAGAAGTATGTGTATCGCAGTGGGGCCAACTAATTTGCATAATCATTGCATGGTCATGATCACTAGCATATCAAAACGTGTTACAGGAAGAAGGAAGATTTTCTGAAGACACTTCGAAAAGAACAGAATCGAACAGAATAGAGAATTACAGATTAAGATTTAAACTTATAATAAATGTATATAGATAGAAGACATTACTGGTAATGAAGACATTACACCACGAACAGACTATTTACTTAATCACAAAATTCTATTGTTTAAATTAAGAACATGGACAAAATGAAGCAGAAGTGATGATTCGGGAAATTACTCACTTTAATTGCTCATCAGCAAGTTTAAAGCCAAGAAGAGAGAAGTGTGTAGGTGGGACAAACAATGGAGATCAGGGATTGGTTGTTAGGAACAGTGGTGATCAGGGATCGGTTGTTAGGAACAGTGGTGATCAGGGATTGTTGTTAGGAACAATGGTGATCAGGGATTGTTGTTAGGAACAATGGTGATCAGGGAATGGTTGTCGGTAACAATGATGATTGGTCATAGAAATATTAGTGAACAGTGGTTGGTCGTTGGAAACTACAATGATTAATCACTGGTTGTTAGGAGCAGTGGTGATCAGGGATTGTTGTTTGGAACAATGGTGATCAGAGATTGGTCATTGGGAACAACGTGAACAGTACAGCCACATATCGAGTCACTAATATCTGCTCAAAAAATCACTATATTTGTCACTAGGGTCTTTTTTCCAACATTTATTTAACATAAAATACCTTATATTCACTCACTAGCAAGACTAATATCTTCACTGGCACGTCTTTTTCACTTGGTGATACTTCTGCCAGAGTAAAATCACACCACTGCATTTATCTCAGATCAGACAGAGCTTTTCCACGGGACCGTACTGAGCAGAAACAGGGCTGAGTCACTGAGATCAAGTGGGATGAAGCAGCAAAAGACAAAAAAAAAACCAGACGTGAAGAAAGCTGAATGCCAAACTGTGATTCATGCTGTATGCAATAATAAGGTTTTATATTTTTACACTACTGGGGACAAACATGCTAGTGTTCGCGAGGATGCTGTCCAAAATTCCAATTACACAAACCACTAAATATATATTATAGTACAAAGAAATATGTTTGTGTTCTATTTTAATACCATATGGCCAATAAGAGAAAAGAAAGAACTGTATTTTGCATAAAACATAAGAATTCACTGGGAGAAAACTGTATTACTGTACTGTGTGGATTATAGACACACCCTAACATTGAACCAAACCACACACACACACACAGTATATATACACACACATTAACACATTAGGTCCATTAACACACTGTACCATAATGGGAGAGGGTCATTTTTTCCATCTCCTTCCTCTCCTGTACACACACCACTGATGACCTGTTTCTCCACCCAGTTTAATGTTGCTTACTCAGACACAGGCCCTTTTGTCTCAAATTCATACATTTTCCATACTGCTTATTTACATTTTATGGCATTTGGCAGATGCCCTTGTCCAGAGCAACTTATGTTTATTGCATTTATACAGCTGTGCAATTGAGGGCCAAGGGCCAACCAGTGGTAGCTTGGCAGTGCTGGGGTTTGAACTCATGACCTTCCAATCAGTAGTCCAATGTCTTAACCACTGAGATACCACTGCCCACACAGGGTCATGTGACACTCTGGATGGGGTGCCAGCCTATCGCAGGGCACAACTGCACACACACTCACAGACCCATTTACACACTACGGACAATTTGGGAATGCCAATCAACCTACAACGCATGTCTTTGGACAGGGGAAGGAAACCAGAGGAAACCCCAAAGCACAGGGAGAACATTCAAGCTTCGTGCACACAGGGCAGAGGCAGGATTTGAACCCCCAGCCCTGGAGGTGCGAGGCAAGTGTGCTAACAACTAAGCCACCACAAATTTGATCTTGCGCTGAGACATGTAATTCTATTATATTACGAATACTACATTTGCATGACTTGTATTCAGATCTTGGAATTTAACACAGATTTGCTCAGATATTTGTGTGCTTCTAAACACTTTGTCCTTTCTTTACAACGACTCCAGGTACAAGTAAACAACAATGCACATATAGCAGGTTGAAGCTTCATCAGCTAATTTCTGGAGCAAGGTGACATACTGTACTATCAATCAAAATGTACTTACATTGTTGGGCAAATCATGACAAGAGCAATCATAGCTTTAAACATGTAAATTAGGTACACTAATAATCATAAAGTGTGAGAAGGAGCGGGCAGGGGTGTGAAACATAAGGCCTGCTGTACTAATCATCAAATTTATTGTCTATATTGTCTCTGTTATTCCATTAGAGATAAAAACATAGCAATAAATTCAGGGTCATGAACTCAACAATAAGTGTTAATAATGTGTAATTCTTCATTAGGAAAGTACAAATTTGACACTATTACCATGTCTCTTTCTAATTTCAAGGTTTCGCAGCAACCAGGGTGAATAATTTATGCGTTCACTCGTTTTTTTCTTTGCACCTAATTGAAAACATTTAACCCTCTTACCCCTAAGTTCCCACAGTATTATGTCCCACACCCCTATATTCCCCATAGAAACAGCACGCCAACCCTGAGTTCCTTGGCCAAAATTCGCCCCAAGATCAACATTTTAATTTTAACATTTTTAGGCCTTGAAACAACTTATAATAATGTGTTTGTGTAATATTACTTTGAAAATGAAGCAGTTCAGTGTTTTTACTAAACTTAGAGCACAATTCTTAACTAGAGAAATGATGAAAAATGCTTGCTAAAATCCTTCTACTCATTTAGAAGTACCATACGAGCATCAGCGTGGTCAATGCCTTGGAATTAATTCAAATAAATAATAAATAAATAAATTAATGCATTTTAGCGCCAAAAGTCAAGTTTATGGTGATAATCAGACCAGCAGGTAGTGTTTTCACGAATGCACAGAGATGGTCAGGTTATGACTCCAAACCCCTGCAGTGTCAGTCGCACTGGTTGATGCTGAAGATGAAGACGGATCAGGGTCTGAATCAGGACATTTTGGGTCACTATTCAGTTTCGGTTTCAACATTGCCTGAACTTTCACTGCTGTCACTATCTAGAATCCTCCCTCTCGCCTGTGTATGTTTTCTTAACTGTGTATGTTTTCTTTTTTTCCCACTGTTTTAGATGTACCTGTGTTCATTGTAGGTGTACCTTTAGCTTGAACATGATTAGCTTTTCGCTTTGGCATTTTTAGTTAACTTCTACTATTACACCAATATTCACGCTTGGATCAGCTTCATCGTAATGCCGGCGTAATAACGTAATCACGTCGTGACGTCATAACATCATCAACCTTCCGGGTCAAAAAATAATAATTAAATAAGTCAGGAATCATAGCAGAGTAATGCTGGTATACCGGCCTTATGGGGATAACGTTTACACTGTAAAGCCGCTATATCTACCTTATAGGGAATTTGGCATAGACGACCAAGCCAGTATATCGTCCGTAGGGGAATAGATCAAAGACGGGCAAGCCGGTTTTTCGGCCATACGGGGTAAAAGGGTTAAGAGGAGTGTTAGCTGATGTGTTAGTTCTCACTAAACTCAATAACGTGGGCCGTTATCTAAAATGAATCTGACACCCCCTGGTTAACGTGCTGTCTCTCACCACATCAAACATTAAAAAACTGTATGAGACATGATTTACATTTATATCAACAGAGCTAACATGAACCAAATATGTTGGATCTTCTGAGCTGAATTGCCCCCCCCCTTTAAAAAATGTTAAATAGTGCTTCTTTTTTTCATCTGCTTGTGAAGAACTTGTTTCTGCTCAAACGTTTATAATCACTGTGCTCTCAAAACTGTTACAGTCACAAAGAATGTCTCACATCGAGGACAGCTGTAGTCCTACCTTGTCACTGTCCACTGTGTTTTGGGAGGTGCGGGATGCGATGGAGATCGTGTCCGGCTGGCTGCTGGCGTCACCCTGACTGTCTGCGTCTTCAGTGGTTTCCCTGAATAATGATATGTAAAATACAAACATGATAAACACCATTAAATGAAAAAAAAAAACATGGTAAGGCTTTATTTATTTATTATATGACCTTATATGACTATGACTGAAAATTAGATTAAAAAAAAAGAAATATGGAGTAGAGAGAGACATCAAGTGACAGATTTAAAAACAAAAAACAAAAAAAACCCAAAGAAAAGTTAGTTCAGGGATATAAAGCAGGAGTTAAAGGGATTATAGCAAGGACCTCTTGCTGACGCTGCGCTGTCTGGATGGCGTTTTAGGGAGGTGGATGGGCTCCTTCAGCGCCCCCTTAAGGTGCACCGTCCGCTCCTGGATTACTTCTCTGATATTCCGGATCCACTCTTGCTTCACCTCCATACTGGACGCCTGCAGGAAAAGTGCACATGGAAGTCCAACAGTGAGTGCACAGGCTACAGCTACAGGCAACAGAGTTTAACACAAGCACAATACATGTTTAAACTTCTAACACAGCCTTTACCTTCAGGATGGTTTTGCTGTCTGATGTCGGGGTGCGTCCGGCCCACAGAGCAAATTTACACGGGTCTCCCTCGATGTGCTCCGTCACTCCCAACTCAGAAGTCTGTAAGAGTGTTAACAAAGTAAAAATCTGAATTTTATGAATTAACATCAATGTGGCCAGGTGTTCTTGAGGCATTCATAAAAAATGAAAATAAATATCCACTCCATTGCTTTGACCTACAATAAGATAAAAAAAAAAAAAAAAAAAAAAAAGCAACAGCTTTAAACATGTTTCTCGAAGACTTTCCGTTGGACTCCTGACTGAGACTCCTTACAGTCTCCTTCCAGAAAACTTCAAAATATCATGTTATTACATACTACATACATGATAACATATTTTAACAATATTGATGATTTGAAATGCAGCCAGAACTCCTGTCGACACCTTCCGACCAATGAGAATCAAGAATTCAACAGTTGTGGTATTATGTCAAACATTTGATTCTCTGCACAACCTACCAGCAATTTGCTCTTATAGACGTATTTTGTGCGTCCGGACGAGTCCTTCATCTCTTTGCTGAACACCAGAGAGATCTCGAAGAGGAAAAGGTGACGATCTCGGCCTTTGCGGATCAAAGATTTGGGATCCCAAACCTGGAACGTGTCCTGTAGTATCAGCTCACCCTGAACAGCCAGGTTCTCATCAAAACCTGGAATCCATGACATTGTGGAGGTGAAAACTTGAATCAGCGAAGGTGTAAATGATATCAGACTGACAATCAGACACAAAGAACAGAATATGATATGGGAGTAACATTAAAATCTACTTCATTTCAAACTGGCTGAGCATTTTCATGCTATGATTTATGTTTAGACTGCTATGGAGTTAAATGTGGAAAACTGTGAGCTCTTACCCTCCAGCATGCTCACATGCATAGCATCGTTGGCTCGTTTAGGCACACTCAACATCACCTCCAACCCTTCCTTAATCTCCCCCTTACCCTCTTCACAACAAGTCAACAACTCCTGTTAATACACACACACATACACACATAACACATTTAAAACACACCATTCTGAACATAGCCTGTTAATTACCAGTAATATTGAAGTTTCACGCTCTACCTTAAGCAGCAGCTGGTACTTGGTGATTCTCTGCACAGGTTTGATGAGGTAGGAGGAGATAGAGTTGGCCAGCCCATGCCTTTTCTGGATCTCCTAAAAAAAACAAAAAAAAAACCCACCCACACATCAGTGCCATTAGAAATATATTTGTCAAATCACAGTGAAGTTATTATCTTCGCATAGCCGGGTGCACACTGTGCGATTTTTAATAGTTGTTTGCGACTGTTGCTTGTCAGACTGTACAAACATGATCCCTGCTTTAAGCCGTATCACACTGTAGGATCTCAGATCTCAGCCATTAATGTCAGAATGTACGACAGTCAAGATGCACAAAACGGACACATGCAAGAAGATTGTATGGAGTAGGAGAAGCCATGCTACAGGACTCTGCCTGACACTGCCAGAAATGAATCAGTTTTAACACAATGGCTGTTAATCAGCTTTCGAGGAACATGTCAAACTAGTGATCAAAGACTAAGGATTATAAGAATCTTTTAGGATACTCAAAATTTGTCTCAGACAAACAAATCGTGGTCAAAATCGTACAGTGTGAACCTGGCTTTAGGAAGCTGGGGTCAGATCGCAGGGTCAGCCATGATACAGTGCCCCTGGAGTGGATACGGGTAAGGCCTTGCTCATGGGCCCAACAGTGGCCCAATCACGCATACCTGCATCAAATTCACAGCACTCACAACAACAGTATAAAGAGACTGTTTGAACACAATGACTTTGTGAAGTATTGAGTGTTATCACCGTACCAAACATTTGTACCCTGTTCCTTGTTTTGTTTCATGTTTGTTGATCATGCTTCTTTTTCTCGTTCTTGATTCTTGCCTTGCCTGTTTATGCCTATTTGTCAATCACCTGACCCATTGCCTGTTTCTCGACCTTGCTATTGTCTCCTGTTTTGGATTTGTCTGCCTCCATTATGTGGATTTCATGACACACAGAAAAACAAATTAAAACAGGCTACTTTTCCTGCTTTCATACTACCACATTTCTAACAACAGTCTTTTATTTAAATGACTGAAAAAATGAGTGTTGCT